AAGAGAAATTTTGTGGATCCCCGGGTGTGAAAAGTGACTGGAGTGAGTTTAAGAACATAGTTATTTGGGGGCACCTGGATGGCTCAGTCAGTTAAGCATCTGCTTTCAGCTCAGGTCATGATCTCAGGGTCCTGGGATCGAGGAGCTGGCCTTAGATGACTATATTAACATCAGGCACAGTATCCTGTAAAGCAAAAAACACTACTATAGACCAGAGGATCATATACATATTAATAAAGGGTTCAATTCATAAAGAGACTATAATAGTTCTAAACTGTACACATCTAAAAATACGCATGTAATGTGAATGCTGACAGAATTATAAGGAGAAATTCAGAAATTCATCAGCAGGGTGGGAGATTTAACACATCTCTGTAATAGACAGATCTAGCAGACCAGTAATTAACTAGGGTATAGAAGATTTGAATGGCATAATGAGCTACCTTCATTTATTGAATTTACATAGAACTCTGCATTCAGTCATTAGAGAGTATGCATTCTTTTCAAGCACACATGGAACACTTATAAAAATTGACCACTTACTAAGCCACAAAATAAGCTTCAATAAATACCAAAGAATCAATGTCACACAAACCACATTCTCAGACCACAATGCAATTAAATAAGAAGTCAAGACATTAAAATCTATGCATTTAGACATTAAAAAAAACCCTTTCAAATATGATTTGGAGTCATACCAAGTATCGAGGGGCTGTATCTGGAAAAGGGTAAGTGAAGAGGCCTAATGAAGAAGACACCCCAAAAGGTCTTCACTATTTTCCAGGCCATGTTGTCTAGTTCATGTGTGCACATGTGTGCAAACACACACACATACACACACACACACCTTTCTTCCAATACAGCCCAAGATGAGCCCACTAAGCATGACGTAATCACCTCAAGGACAACTACAACTCATCTTCCCAAAGTTAAAATCATCCACATCCCGCTAATTTCCAGAGGCACCATGATGAGGTGGCTATTCCCCAAGTACATAACCTACGAATGTCTTGTAGTTCAGGCTCAATCTCACCTCAGTATGACTCCACATCACCTTGTCATCTACAGACTAAGCAATAAGTATAACATCCACTTGCCCCACCCTATGCTCATGTAGGGGCCAAGGGCAGGCCACCCCAAGATGGCCACTTTGGCATGAAGATTATTCTGAAGGCAATGGAGACCCTATGAGCTCAATAGAAACTTTTGCCCCTCCCTTAACTGCATAGAAGAATCTAAACTGGAGGGTCTTTCCAGAATAAGGGTTATTTGCAGAAATGAATATTATCCGTGTAACCCATCTACGGCAGGGCACACATTTGTTCACCAAACATTGACCCTTTTCCGCCCTCCTGTGAATTGCATTCCTTCCCTCTGAAGTCCCAGACCCCTATCCCTTCTCCTTAGTTTAGAATGACATGTAGACCTCATTTTGCCTAACTGTCTTTGGAAGTTCCAGGTCTGTGTGGATTCCCCACACCATACACTATTAAATTTGATTTTCTCCTGTTAATCTGTCTCAGGTCAATTTGATTGTTAGCCCAGCTAGAGGGACCCTTGCAGGGGACAGGAGTTCTTGCTCCCTGATGCTCACGTGGGCTTCCTGCCATGCAGCAAAGCTCTCTGCTGGTGCAAAGTGTCAGGACAGACTCATGGACACTTGTTCCTTTGTGCAGGTGTAGGGCCAAGTCCTTTTGGAGCACCTGGGTTTATTGTATTTCATTTTATCCACAACTTACACCTTCATCAGTCGTTATCTTTGCACGAACTTCTTCCAAGTTCCAGCCCAGTTCCTCCCTCTCTCATGATTTCAAATGTCAGATGAGGGGCGCCTGGGTGGCTCAGTCGGTTAAGCGTCTGCCTTTGGCTCGGGTCATGATCTCAGGGTCCTGGGATTGAGCCCCACATCGGGCTCCTTGCTCAGCGGGGAGCCTGTTTCTCCCTCTCCCTCTGCCTCCTGCTCCCCTGCTTGTGCTCTCTTTCTGTGTCAAATAAATAAATAAAATAAAGTAAAATAATAAAAAATGTCAGATGGTACAATCTATGGAGTTTTGCAACTCCAGCATGTTGCTGATCAAGATCCATTCATCTATTTTTTTGAAAAATTTTTATTGTGTTAAAATACACATAACAGGGGCGCCTGGGTGGTTCAGGTGGTTAAGCATCTGCCTTTGGCTCAGGTCATGATATCCAGGTCCTGGGATCAAGCCCCACGTTGGGCTCAGCGGAGAGTCCGCTTCTCCCTCTCCCTCTGCCTCTCCTCTTGCTCATGTTCTCTCTCTCTGTATCTGTCTGTCTCAATGAAGAAATAAAAATCTTAAAAAAATACACATAACGTAAAATTTACCATCTTAGCCATTTTTAATCCAGTCTCTTCATCTTAACCATTTTTTAAAAAGATTTATTTATTTTAGAGAAAGAAAGAGAGAGAGAGAGAGAGAGAGCACATGTGAGCGGGGGGAGGGGCAGAGGGAGAGGAAATTTTAAGCACTCTCCGCACTGATCGAGGAGACTGATGCAGGGCTTAATCCCACAATGCTGAGATCAGGACCTGAGCCAATACAAAGAGCTAGATGCTTAACCAACTGAGCCACCCAGGTGCACCTCCATCTTAACCATTTTTAAGTGTACAGTTCAAGGGTATTAAATACATTCACATTGTTGTGTGACCATCACTGGTGTTCATCTAATTTTCTTGAATTTTTCCTGACAACAAAATATTCCTCAACATCCACGCTCACATGAATGTCAGTTATAAGGTACATTTCCCTCTGTATTACCAACCATAACAAAATTCCAATTTTAGTTCTGATTAGAAGCACCTACCATTAATCATTACTCCTGTACAGGAGTGGGAAAGAAAAAAAGAAAAGAAAAGGACAATCATAATACCTACCCTTAAGCAAAGGGTCTAGTGGGAAGGCTCTATGAAAGCATGGTACTTGGCCATCGGTTTAGAAGCTGTGCTGTATCTTGCTGAACAAGTCCGTACAGGTAAATGACAGAACCAGCAAATCTCACGGGTGCCGTTCGTGTAACTAACTCTCTGGGCAGTGGAGTGAATTCCTCGGTGCCTATGATCTACCTGCTTGGAGGACTGCTCTTGTATAACTGGCATCCTTCGAGGCTGTCCCAAAGAAGACCAGTGGGTAGGGTCTGCTACAGGGAGTTGTGAGGATTGTGCCATTCATTTCCTACTATTGCTGGGCTGGTGCCCTTTTTATGTGCTTTGGGACAGAGTCTTCCAGCAACATCAGTTAAAGAAAATCTCAGGCCTCTGCTTGCCAGCATTGTATATATATTTTTCTGGTGCTACAATTCCCATAAAACCTTGCTTGCCTGAGCATTTTATTTGGGGCGGCGGTGGGGGGTTCTCTACTATAAAGCCCAAACCAGAAATCTTATCTTTCTTTGATAATCCCCAGGCCAGGTAGGGTCAGAACCTGGCTTGGCTAGGGTACTCTGCTCATCTATTGCCAATTCCTCTTCAGTTAAGGGTCTTAGCCCCAGGGTACGAATGGTGCCTAATGACGGGTGGAAGTGTCTAAAGGGAGCATTTCTCTGTTAATCAGCCTGGAAGGTTAATTAACCTGCACTTTTGCATTCCACAGCTGTCCTAGGTCTTTTAAAAGGGAGGCAATTTCACATTTGTCCAGCAGAGGGGGCTCAAGGGAAGATACTTGGGAGAGACTCTGAAGTTTGGTTTTGGGGGTTTTGTTTCTGTTTTTTAAACAAAGCTGGTTTCTCTGACACCCGACATTCCATCCCAGGAAACCATGCTGGTTCTGCCTCCAGACTATATCCAGGTTCTGGCCACTTCTCCACACCTCCAGGGCTACTGCTCTGGCCCCAGCCCTTTCCAGTTTCTCATCTGGATCACTACAGAGAATGCCTAACACTTGTTCTGCTTTTCCTTGCATCCTTATCATCTCTCCTCCACCCACCCAGCAGCCAGATCCTTTTAAGATATACATACATTATGTCAACTCCTCTGATCAAAACCCTGCAATGGCTTCCCATTTCTTTAAGAATGAAAGCTAAAGTCCTAAAGCCCATCCCACTTGGTCCCCCAATGCCTGCCTGACAGCTTCTACACCTCACCCCCAATGCTCCCCTCTTGTTGCTTGAACACCCAGCCATGTTCCTGCTCTTCCCCTTTATGTCCATGGAGCTCACGCCTTGTTTTTCGTTTTTGTTTTTTTATGTCTTTGCTCAAAGCTTGCCTTTTCCATGAATCTGCCCTGACCTCCCTATTTAAAATTGCAACCACCACCTCCCACTCTCCCCAAACTCCTTCTCTAGCTCTATTATTTCCTTTATAGTACTTAGCACCTTAAAAAAAATTATTTATTTATTTATTTATTTGAGGGAGAGGTGGGGGGAGGGGCAGAGGGAGAAAGAATTCCAAGCCGACTCCCCACTGAATGCAGAGCCTAAGCCCAGGACCCTGAGATCATGACCTGAGCCAAAATCCGGAGTCTGAGCCGCCCAGGCACCCCTTAGCACCTTCTAACATACTGCTGTATTCTGACCATAACAAATGTAATTGTTTGTTATGTTTACTGTTTATCATCTTTTGCCCTCCTACAGTTTGAGCTCCTCAAGGACAGGGATCTTTGCCTGTTTTGTTCACTGTGCTGTTCAAAGGAAAACCAATAGGCCCAGAATGGCATTACTTGGGCCAGGCAAGTCACCAAACAATCTAATTGCAGCTTCAACCTCCCCCAGAAAGGTCAGTCAGGAATTTTCGGGTAAGCACCAATGAGGTCATGTGTGCATAGGTCTTCTCCATCTCCCAAAGGAAGATGAGGCAATCTGCATAAGACCCTCTGCCCTTCCCACTAAGGGAAAGTACCTTGCCTGGGACCATCTTTTCTTTTCTTTTGCTTATACCTTTCTCCCCCAACCCTCCTTCCTATAAAAACCTTCCGTTTTGTACAACCCCTTGAAGTGGCTTTTCCTGGCTAGATGGGATGCTGCCACAATTATGAATCATTAAGTAAGCCAATTAGATCTTCCAATTTACTTGGCTGATTTTTTTTTAAAGATTTTATTTATTTGACAGAGCACAAACAGAGGGAGAAGCAGACTCCCTGCTGAGCAAGGAGCCCGATGTGGGACTCGAACCCAGGACCCTGGGATCATGACCCGGGCCGAAGGCAGCCGCTTAATCGACTGAGCCACCCAGGCGTCCCTGATTTTGTTTTTTTAAGTGCTTAGAATAGTACTTGGCTCAGACTAGGTGCTCAATGAATATGTGTGGAGTGGATCCATCAATACCCTCATTCCCACAGCTAAGATCTTACAGTTTTCTAATCAATGCTCTAACTTCATCTTGGGTGTGGAGGCGGCATAGAGAATCTGCAATTCAAGGTTCATTTTTTTTTTTAAGTTTATTTATTTGTTTTTAGTAATCTCTACACCCAACATGGGGCTTGAACTCATGACCCAAAGCTCAAGAGTTGCAGATGCTCCTCAAGGCTAATTCTTGATCGGGATCGCAACAATCACAGTTAGGCTACCCTGGGTTTTACCATCTTCTGTCAATGCGGTCATTGCTGGGTAACAGATTGTCTTTGGCTGCACCCTACAGAAGCCCATTGCAATGACCCACCCACCCTGTTTGCTGTGAAGTCACCTGAAGCCTCAGTCTCAGAGGCTTGAACTGAGCACATAAGACATCAGGGAAGCACTTAACCACCCACTTCACTACCCCATGTCAAGGACTGCCACCTCCCTTTCTGTGGTCATGTGTCTCCTTGCACCCATCCCCCCACTCAGCCGAGTCCTCAGTTTCTTCCAGGCGTTATTATGTGAACCCTCCTCTGGATGCTTATGTCTGAATCATTTAGGACTCCTTGGTCACAAGTAACAGACTCCAACGCAATTTATTAAAACATTGGAAGGATTTATTATAAAGATACAGGGGTGTTTTACAGGGAGCAAAAGTGAGGTCTTACCTTTCATAAAACCCCAAACTTTTCTCCTTATACAATGGGAGCCCAGATGTGACGGAATTACTTCTTTTCTTCCCTCAAGAGTGTTACTTTTTAGAGCACCTTTTTTGGTTTGATGGCCTTACCAATTATCATGCCTTCCTCTTCCTTCTTAATCGTCCACCCGTTTGGGCCAGGTGTTCCTTCTCCATGGTGTTATGTGTGTCAGACTCCATCCCAAGCCTGGGGGCAGAACTTGAAGTGCATCGGGGCAGCTCCACTACCCTGGTTGTTGACTGGTTTAGTAACGGGCAAGTATTGGGTTATTAGAGCAGAGCCTGAGGCAGGGATGCTTGCACAAGTGACTGATGGACAGATTGCCCTCAGGAAATGAGGGAAGCAGGAAAAAGGGAAGCGAGGATGTGGTCTCATTTGGAGATTAGCTTCAATCTGAGTACATGGGGGGCTTCAGAGTGTGAAATGCACCACATAGTTGCTCCCATCTGGGAACCAGGGGCCAATCTTTTGTATCTCCTTCCTCTCTTGGCTACAGGCTCCCCTGAGGAGGGGCAGTGGTGGTGGTGGTCGAAGCTCCATAGCAAGGTGGCTTTGGTCACAGCTGCAAGACTTTGGAGTTGCAGACAGCTGTGAGTCATTAGTGGTCAACCCTCAGCAAAATCCCCAGCCCAGCAAAAGGGATTTGAGTGAGACACCAATGGGATCTGCTACAGGATGGGGACTAGGGTGACCCACCATCTCAGTATTCCTGAGACTGTCTTTGTTTTAGCCTGAAAGTCCCACATCTCAGACAATCTCTCAGTCCCAGGCAAACCAGGATGGTTGGTCCCTCTACGTGGAACCCAAGTTTGGCCAATGATCTGTAGGGGATGTCTGCCAGGGGGTTTCTGAGAAAGAGATACAAAATGGATAAATGATTCCTTTTCTTACTCTGGATGTTGTTGCCTGGATTTATACCTGGAACTGTTGTACTTGCGTGGCAGCCAAGAGAGTCTTCAGGTAGAGTTGACACCAGGAAAGAGTGATTAATAGTTACTCCACCTAGAAATGTAGGGTGGAGGGTGAACCGAACCTTCTAGGTAATCTCAACAGTAGACCACTGTGAAATGGTGTACCTGTCTTCCCTTCACGAAACACACAGTGGGAAACAGTAAATGAAGGAGCTCAAAAGAGCAATAGCATGTGGAAAAACCAGGCAGTAATTTAACCTTACCTGTCCCGATTGTACTTCCCACCCTAAGCCTTAGAAAGGAGGGTGTTTAACATGGATGCTCCCTCTTCCCCAGCTTTCTCTGTGCCCTTCCCCCACTTCCCTTGGCACCTTTTCCCTCTGTAGGGACTGAGGACAGGCTGCCCCAAGATGGGTCACTTTCGCATGAAGAATATCCTAAGATGAAGGCAACAGAGATCCTATGAGCTCAAGAGAAACTTAAAAAAAGATTTTATTTATTTATTTGAGAGAGAGAGTGATGGCGACAGAGAGAACTTGTGGGGAGGAGAGGGAGAAGCAGGCTTCCCACTGAGCAGGGAGCCTGACACGGGCTCCATACCAGGACCCTGGGGTCATGACCTGAGCCGAAGGCAGATGCTTAACTGACTGAACCGCCCAGGCGCCCCTCAAGAGAAACTTTTGCCCCCCTGAGCCACCCAGGCGCCCCAATATTTTTTTATTTTTAAGTCATCTCTACACCCCACGTGGGGCTCGAACTCACAACCCCAAGATCAAGAGTTGCATGCTCCACTGACTGAGCCAGCCGGACAGCCCCAGTGTTTACATTTTATGACAAATAACTATGGCTCCTAGCTGAGCCATGGAGTTTATTATGATGACATTTCTTTTCTTATGCAATTTTTTGTTTTGCCTGGAATAAATAGTCTCATTTCTTCGGTTGCTTAATTTTCTTTGCAGCTGCTGCTAACTCTGCCCTCCCCTCCAATGACTTTTCATTATGTGTCCTCAAGGTCAAGACTGTCCTTCCAGGAGCCCTTCCCCTCTCTGCTTGGCACTCTCACGTGTAGAATGCCCTGCTCCCTCGATCCCATTTGTGGCAGAGATTACTTCCAAAGGGAAGTCTTCTCCACATACACACTCTTTTGTACTTTGCTTTTTTCACTTAACAATATATCCTGGCTGTTACCCTATATCAGTTCAGAGCAAACATCCTCTTTCTTTTGTTAGAGCTGCGTAGGACTCCATGTACGGACCGACTGTGATTTCTTTAGCCAATCTCCTATCTTTGGACATTTAAGTTGTTCCTAAAACTTTGCTATTATAAATAATGCTGAAAAACCTTGTTTTTTCCATATTGTTAGAGGGTTAGATTCAGGGTAAATTCTAGATGTGGGACTGCCAGGTCAAAGCATGAATGCCTATCTTGTTAGAGATTGCCGATTCCTCCTCCACAGGGATCACACCATTTTGGGCTTCCAACAGCTAAAGGAAAACTGTTTCCTCTATTCACTTCTGACCCCAAACATGCGGGACATTTTCCCACAACCAGTTCTCCAAGACTTGGGAGAAGGAGAAGCAGACTCCCTGCGGAGCTAGGAGCCTGATGCAGGGCTCAATCCCAGGACCCTGGGATCATGACCTGAGCCAAAGGCAGCCGCTTAACTGACTGAGCCACCCAGGCGCCCCTTGCTCACTTTTCTAACAGAGAAGGATTATTGTAGGTACGTACTACACACAGTGCTATAACAAAGAGGCCCCATAGCACAGCGGCTTAGGTCAGACAGAGACCATTTCTTTCTCAATAGTGGTAAGAGGCGAACAGCCCAGGGCTTCTAGAGAGTCCCTGCCACCCTCAACATGTGGCTTCCAGCGCCCAGTCTTGGCCACTTCTCAATCAGCAGGGAGGGGAAACATGAAGAGCAAGCAACTTTTCCTCTAGGGAGGGGATCCAGAGGCTGCCCACCTACCTACTGCTCACCTACTGTTGGCGAGGACACCTACAGCAAGGAAAAGAATGAAATCTGGCCTCCTGCTGGGCCACCACTTATCCCACTGAGGCTTAAGGGTGGGGTTTCCATTACTAACAGGAAGGAAGGAAGAATGGGCAATGCAGAGCACTTCAGCCGGTCATTAGATCTCTCTGCTCCCAAATGAGATGAAAGAGATGATGAATTCATCCTGCCTGGATGACTCACGTTTACTGAGTGGTTACTATGTGGACACTTCATTCTAAACACTTGGCATGTGTAAAAAAAAAAAAAAAAAGCATTTAATCTGCCCATAATGTATGGAATGGGTAGTATGCTATTATTATAGAAAGGAAACTGGGGCAGAGAACAATTAATCTGCCTGGAATCTCCCAGGCAATATGATGGAGCCAGGACAGTCTGGCTCTGAGCAATAAATACTCTTAGTCACTATTTTATTCCACTTCTGGACCATATTTAGGTATTTTGAGATATTTTTTGCTCTCTGGGACCAGAACTTTCTTTCCTCTAACACATAAATCTATTTTTCAACTTTCAGACATGTGATGCTCATACACTTTTGTGGAAATGTGAATCTTTTCCAGTAAAGGGCTGCCTTCCCACAGTGGCACTGGAGACTTACGGACCACTCGGTCACCTTCCAGTCACCACATGGCGTGGCTGTTTGGTGGCTGGGACTCCTGTCCTCCTGGCTTCCTCATGTGGCCTCATAATAAACCCGCATTATATAAATAACTTCAGTGTGGCTCAGGTCCTGGATCCTTGAGAGAGCCTAAACCTCACCCCCTTGTGTGTGAGGCTGGGAGTCTGGCCTTTGTCTTGTGCATGTTGATATGCCATGAAGTGATTTCGGTGGGGGGCGGGCGGAAGCCAGGAGCAGCCCCGTGATGTAGAAGCATCCTTCGGTGGCCCTGTGGAGACCAAGTGGGAGGCGGAGTGGAGGAGAAACGAGGAGGCCAATGCAAGACCTTAGGTGTGGAAGGATCCAGCAAGTTCTAGCGGTGTTTGGGAATTTGGGAACGGACAGGTCACCGGGAAGAGGAGAGAAGTCTAGTGTGGACTTCGGTTTCCCGGGTGGTTGGGGGGGGTGCCATCAGTCAAGTTAGAGAGAACGCAT